GCATTCTCAGAAGAAGACTACAATTTATCTTGGATACATCAATGATATCAACGATGTCAGCACAGTCACGTAATGACTTCTGTATTTCCAAGTACAGATGAACAGCCAATGCCTCTTTAGCTTATAATTTTCATCCTTTTAATGTTGCTTTCACTGAATGGAACTACTGTGATTTTTTGCGGTATTTTCTTTCGGGGAAAGTGCAATAAACAGTTACGTCAATCATATAAATTGTTGAATTAGTTAAAAAGCTTATAATAATCACTTAAAGATATTTTCTGTGTTCATTACCATGATCTTGAAATTTACGAATTTAGATAAATAAAATAAAAATAAACACCAGGAAGAAAAACTATTTACCGATATAAATCACTCATGCAGTGGCGAAAACGTGCATTGCCTCTTTTAACATACATACTGAGGTTGTCAAATCTCCCACGCATCCTTGCATGCTCTTCCAGTAAACCACAGGCATGCAAGTTGATCTTCTCGGCCAGTGGCATGGATTCCTTACCGTTGAAAAATACAAGCAAAAAAGGGAAGAATAACTGAGTGAAGAAAAGTCCCATGCATGACCAAAACTTTTTAAAGGATAAGTTATTTTTCTTTTTTAGCTTGTATTCTTCAACGGGAATTTTAAACGTTTTTCAGTTTTAAAAGTTTAATTGTTTATCGGATGAAATATTACCCAATGGTCTAGAAATGCAGAAAATCAAGACCCAGAAACTCAAAAATATACAGATCCCCTAGCTACACGTGCGTACTTTCCCTGTTTCCCAGTTCAACTTCACCACCTCTTAGTTTGGTCCCTTTCATGTTTGAAGGCGCCTTCACTGCAGGCGAATTCGTAGGAAATCCAGGGTATACGTATAGAAACTTTGCGAAATATATGATCGGGGTGCAGATTTCAGTCCCGAATGCTTGATACATGTATATACCAGGCTTTTATGATTGAAAAATACCTATAGTTTTACAGAGTTCTATACAACTTAACCAACCACATTTCAGAGGTATAAACCCAATATTCGCTGGTACCGAGGCATTGCTAGATTGCTTGATGAACAGTTTTACGTGGAGGGGCTTATCATACGCATGCAGGAGGCTTATATATGGATGAAAGTTTGTGTTAGTGATAATTGTACAATAAATGAAAAGAATAACATTCCTTTGTAAAAGTAGTAAAACATTCGTTATTAACAAAAATAGCATCAGTCATTTTTTCAGTTATGACTTATGAGAGGCTGTTGCATACTACGAGGCGGTCCAGCCCGGCTAACCGGGATGAATAACGAAATTTTTCCCTGACGATAGAAGATCGTTTGAATGAACTTTATACTGTTACTGGAATTAAACTAAGCTAATTCAACTTTGAAACGTCATTTTGGATTTTTATCAAAGCCACGATAAGAGCTTTATTAATAAACGAATCGTCCCGGTTCCTTATACATGAGTGGTTTTTCGGAGTACCCCAAGGCTGAACGTTGGTGATTGATCACCAATGGTGGACTTATAAGTTATATAGCCCTCATACATAGGGTTACGTATTCGAGAAGGCTTATATCGTCGAAGGTTTATAGTATGTGCTCGTGAACTATAGTGTAAAATAAAATAAGTTGCAGACCGGAAGTGTTTTCATGCAGGAATCTTTTGTTATTATAGTCATAAACGTACAATCAATGTAACATGGCTCTAAAATACATATAATGCATCAACTTGTAACCATATTACAGTATTATTATAGTTACAAATTTGGGGTAAATCTTACCTTTTAAAATTTCTGGAGGCGCATATGCATAAGATCCACAAAATGTATGGCTCAATTTCTTTTTACCAGTCACAGTAGTCATTCCATCTCGAGCAAAGCCAAAGTCAGAAATGATGATTGAATTTGAAGCATCAAGAAGCAAATTTTCACATTTTAAGTCACGGTGAACAATATCGTAGGAATGACAGTAATTTATACCTTCAATGATCTGTCCAAACATACGTTTTACCTCCGGTTCTGGTAACGCTCCTTTACTTCGAATATGTTCAAGGAGATCCCCATTTTCTGCAATATTGGTAATGATATAAATCCTTGTATTCGTTTCAATTACTTCGATCAAACTGATCACGTTCGCGTGTCGAATTTTTTTCAAAACTCGGATTTCCCTAGGAAGAAATTTACTGAGGAAATCTTCTGGTGCTTTCTTTTTTGTGATGATCTTAATTGCAACATCTTTGGATTTTTTCTTCGAATGAGCCTTCCGAACAACAGCATAAGACCCTTGTCCGATTACTTTTCCAACATCATAGCCATACTGTCCGAGTATATTTGAGATCTGACTTTGATTTGTTTCCGGTACTTTGAGCCCTTTTGCATTAGAACTCCGTTTACTTGCAGTCTGACTTGCGGTTCCTGGTCGGGCGTCTTCGTTCATTACACTCGGTCAAATAAAGATTTTTTGATCCGAGAATTCATTCGTTTCTGATTGGACAGACTAAATTCAGTCTGACCAGCTTTATTTTTGTTCAGTTTTCCGGCATGTTGCCCAGAATTCTTCGTAAATAATTAGGCTCTAATTATCTCAATTATCTTGAATGAACTGCATTCGAAATAGCGATTGTTACGTCATTAATTAATTAAATATGGCGAAACAAGTGTCAGTGTAAATCTCTAAAATTTCTAATAAAGACATGTTGTTTATTTTTGCAATGTGGAATGCAGGTGATCATTCGCAACAGTAAGTAACTCAGTAACAAATTTAATATATGACTGTGGACTGTATCTGTCATGACATTATATATGCCACATTGCCACTGCCATGCTGCACGCCTGCACGGGATTCTAATGAACGATGAAAATCTGGGAAACTGACGATACAAAACTGAGTTTTAGTACAGGATCAACTTTTCTATTATATCAGTTTAATTTGCAAACTTTGTGGGAAAGTGTTCAAGACAATAATGACATCCTACTTTAAAATCATCTGAATCCGCCCGTGACGTCAGTTAAACTAACGCATGATTTTTAGGTGCATTTTGATGTTAGACCACGTACTGTGGAAAGTTTGTGTTACGCAACCGAGATGTGAGATACAGTTTTGATTTTTCTAATTCACCGTGGTTGCCAGAGGTTCTCGTATTTTCCGCCCTACCTCTGGAACCAGGGTAGGATTTATCCGGGGGGGGGGGGCGGGGGGCATCCGTGCACACATAGCGTACAATAGTGTTGATTTATGTAGGCGCAACCTAGCAAAGTGAAACATGAAAACGAGGCTAATATTCGTGCAAAAGTGTATAAAGTTCTGTCTCAAAATTTTCTTAGTATCCCATTTTAAATATAAAACGTCGCGCAGACATCTGGCAAATAGCTTTTCACAGCCGTATTACAGTATAACGTCTTACGGTTGGAACGCAGAATCTACTGTAAAACCTATTGTAAAACATTGGCCCTCCTTTTGTACATTCTTTTGCATTTATTTTGATTTTCTGGGTTTTGCAAGTATTTCAATATTATATGTATAGATATACCAATATATTTCTAATCAAATTTCTCTATAAACTGGCCAAAACGTGTCTTTTGAAATGTTATATTATATTGTTTCCATAGTAACGAGTGACAGGCATGCGTCATGCACGGCAACAAACTGATATCACAGCAACTGCAGTGTCAAGAAAAGCTTGCGATTCGATCAAAAATAAATCTAAAGCAAAGAAATGGGCTAAAGCAGAGGGTAAATCTAAAAAGTCTGGCATATTAAAGAAGCGGAATATGGCTACGACCCTGAGTAAACTTACAATTCGAGAACGTAATCCGCAAGTTGAAATGGACAGTGAAATCACGAGATTACGCGAGGAGATTGAACAGGAAAGACAGATGAAGTAAGTGAACAGTCAATGTTTTATAAATGTGAGAAAATGTTCTCTTCATTAGCCAGACAAAGATTTGTATCACGATCTGAGTAATCAAAGAGGTTGTTATCGATCGTTCATAACCAGACTGTTGTGGAGATCATTTTACTTGGAAACATGATATTATTATTTAAATCAATTTTATGTGCCAGACTGAGATTAGTCAGGCAGACTCAGCTGTTTGTTTTAGCATTCACTATAAAGTGATATACAATATAAAAGCGTAGTGTGAGACTAAGCCATTTAAGACCTGTAGGATTTAAAGTTAGAGCACTTTATACTGCTATTAAATTTACAATTTTACGAACACTTTGTTTGCCTGTATCAAAGTCGGTCACAGTTTAAAAATTGAAAAAAGGTAAGTATAAATGTCAGGTTATTTCTGATATTGTATGATACTGAACACATCAACTGTGTTAATGGGATGGCGGGAAGCCAGATTGTAGTGCACAAGCAATTAATCCTCTCACACACTTTTTGGTCATGTTTGCATGGTCATGTAATTACTCATGTTCAGCCACAACCGTGCACTTTCTGACAGACAGATATATTTACTTGTGACATGCATTTTCATTGGTAATACTGAGTTAAGCTTGCTGTAGGAGGTTGAGGGTAGTGTATTATTACACAGATGGCCAGATTGGTGACCCTGCTTTGACTTGCATGGTGCCATACTGTCTACATTATATGTCCAATTCATTCATGCTATATGTGGATATATACAGAGCAAAATCATTGCATGTTGTTTCCAAACTGCTGGGTTCAGGTTCTAAAAAGATACGATGTGCATTACAAAATCTCAGACCGTCCAAGTCCCTTGTATTCTGCATGAGACACAATAACACACACATTTTAAGAAATTTTAAAAAAGGAAGAAAGGATCGAAGTTCTCTCACATTTTATGATAAAACATTAAAACACCGGATGATACACTACAAGACTTAAGTTCAATTGATAATTACAGCTGGTATTAGTTAGTTGTGCAAGTGTGATTTTCAGGGCCAGTCTTAAAAGTTTGATTTTCAGAATTTTCTATGAAACATCCCATTGCTCCTCACACCTGGGTCCTTTATTTTACATATATAGTGCACAAAGCCCTCTTTGATTTTTAAATATTATCGGAAGAAAAACCCTCAAATCAGCCATTCCATGCCAAGTTAAATATCAGTAAAAACTTGTAAGGCTGAATAGCTAGTATTTATATTCCTATATATTATATTACTGAAGACAAGAAGTAAAACATTAAGCCACTTTAAGCCACTGGCATGGGAACCAGGGGGCTTAGTTTCCCCACAGGGGGCATAAAAGCTCCCTAAAATAGATCTTAAAGTGCTTATGAAACGAAATTTTCACCTCATTTTTTATTGTTTTGCTAAAAAGTACTGCTAGAGCGATGAAGAATGAAGTTTACAGTTTCTTCATATCTCATCTCATTCCCAAGTTATCGCACTTTCTATATTTTGAGTTGTGACGTCACTAGTTTGCCTTCAGATAATGGCAATAACAAGAAAGTCTGATATCTTAGTGAGTATCTAATAAAATTCAATGAAACTCGGTACATTTAGTGGGTGCACCCATATGAATATTTTTGGCAGGTCATGTGGTTGTCATGGCAACACACTAGTCCCCAGTCTCTTCTCTTCCTTTTCACAAATTTCCTCCTGTAGACCTCTTGCAGAGGATGTTTGCATGTTATAATGGTTTAATTAAACTGATCACAATACCTGCACATTATGGTAATAAGCAACAATTGCAGAAATTACTATATTTATTTTGTTGGAAATGGATCATATAGAAATTGGAAGAGAAGGGACTGGAGATGAATGTGTTGCCATAACAACCATATAAACAAGCCAAATTGTTCACTATTAAATTGAGTCAAACTAGTGATGTCACAACTCAAAATATAGAAAATGTGACAACTTGGGAATGAGATGAGATACGAACAAATTGTAAACGTCATTCTTCATCATTTAAGCTTTTAATTATTAATAAGACAATAAAAAATGAGGCAAAAATTTTGTTTCATAAGCATTTTTATTATTTTTTATATGCAGCGCTTTTTCACATGAGAAGACTGGGACCTAAGCAATTTGGGGGCGGGGCACCAAATGCTAGCCGAGTAAAATGCTAGTAAATCTAGATTACATTGATATCAAAAGGAACTAGACTCGGTTCCGAAATATCACTTGCTCGAACCGACCTGATCGCGTAGCTCAGTTGGCAGAGCATTGAGCTGGTGTTCCAAAGGTCCGTAGGTTTGATTCCCACCGTGGTCAGGCATATTTTTCAAGCCTGCCCAGTGTGGATATACACTCAGAGTAACATATCACAAGCATCATGTTAAGGACATTATTATTGACAGTATTTGAAAAGGAAATTGATTGGAATATATTTATGTATATTAATTTTGCTGATCTTGAGAGATTAAGTGAAGTTTAATATATTCCTTCTTAAAACTATTGTTTCTAGCATATGCGTATTGTTTTGCACGTACAACGGTACGTTAGGAAATAAAGAAGGAATATTAATAGTGAAAGACTTGTTACATAGTATGTTACTTGTTACATACTAGGTAATATTGTCAAGAATCTGATAATACGTGTTGACAGATTCTCTGCTGTTCCCAAAGAAAATACTGCGGATACATTTGGTTTGCTAGCTAGTTTTTAATTTTATTAACCGTATTCATAGCCTATCGAAGGGAAGATGGCTGTGAAACTCATTAGAATAACAAATATGTAACTCATTATCTATGTTAGTCAACGTTTATTCATAAATCTGGTCGTTTCACCGTCACGTGTGTATTGTATTTTTACTGAATCTTAACCAATAGCAATTTCCAGTTTCCCTATTGTTCGAGTGACGGAGAGGTGACTTTCCTAAAACATTGCTATTGGTTAGTTGGGCAAGAATACAATACACACGTGACGGTGAAGGACCAGATTTATGAATAAACGTTGACTAACATAGATATTGAGTTATATTGTTATTTTAATGAGTTTCACAGCCATCTTCCCTTCGATAGGCTATGCCCTATTTTACTTTGTCTAATGCCAGACCATTTTACTAGTGAGGGGAAGAGTGCTGCCACTCAATGGGTTAAACTAGTCGGGTATGTATTTCGCCAGCTCATGGCCCATAATTAAAGTATCATGGGTAAACACTAAACAAGCGACTTAAGGTGGCTCCCTACAGTTAGTACAGTTTAAATACGATTTATATAGATCAGACTTCATCCTCGCGACCTGCGCGTGGAATCGTCGTGTTTACTGTTCGGCAAAAATATTGAACAAGCCACGGGAAGTTTTTTTGCGTTTTTATCTACAAAGAAAGCTCCAGTTTTTCATTATAATCCTAATTTTTTTGTGAATTCGAACAGTACGTATGTTATTTACTAGTTTAGCCAATCTTTTAGTGTGTTTTTACGTATTTACGTTCAGTATTGTCTTTCATATTGCTCAAACTTGTTGTGTTGCGAACTGTCAAACTGAAACGATACTGTCTTCTATAACTCTTGAACAGTAGTGAACTGTCGCCGAAACTTATGTAAGTCAAATAAACAGTTATGAGTTGTTTTATATGAAAAGTTAAAGTTGTAGTTCGATGTTTTGAAAAGTTTTCACACCGATTTTAACAACAAAAACAAATGTAAACTAATACTGGATTTAATACAATGCGTATAATAGTGTTTATTTATTAGTATTTTCAAGATTAATATTTTATTTTCATGTCAAACAAGTCAGAAATATCTGTTTTCGTATGTATTGTAAGCCAAAAAGTTGAAATCACTATAAATCACACGCTACAATTTACACGCATGCGCAGATCGTGCTCATGTCGAGTCGATTTTTTTTCATGCTGGCCACGCCGATTTTAGCGATGATTTTCTCGTGTTTTCTTCGGTGAAATTTTTTTAAACTTTGTATTTTTGTTATACAAGATGAGTGGTACAACATATCCAAATTTTAAGAAATTCTACAAATAACTTTTTCTGTAACCGTCATTCACGAATATCTCGAAAACTTATTTGTAAATTCCCTTCAAATTTTGATATGTCTTTCTTTTATGGGCCATAAATCTTAAAAAAAAATTTCAGAAAAATTCACCGAAGGAAAATATAGATATTGTCAATTTATTGTGAAATTAGACAATAAAAGTGCAAAAGATTAAACATCATGGTTGCCATGGCAACACAAACGCTGTTTTAATTTGTTCATAAATGGACAGCACACAGCTTCTGAACTTTCCTGGAAATGATCATATTGCCTTGTCTTAAGTGTATCTAATTTGATCAAATGCATTTGATCAAAAGCTAGCATGCTAGCTTTTGTTCAAATGCATTTGTCACAATAAATTTGTCACAAATTTATCATCTACACGAGCAAAATATCTTTGACATATGAAATTTGTCAAATAAAATTTGCTCGTGTAAACGGGGCTTAAATGGTTTCGTAATTTATAGAAAATACCTAAACTCGCTGTGCTAGGGACGGATGGCATTGGCATCCCTAGTGAACATATTAGTGTGTATAGCGTATGTTCATAAACATGCGCACACATGCAGAAGATGCAAAAAGAAAATGCGCACACAGAAAGAACTTCGACGTTTAGAGCTTCATCTGGAAGTTAGTTGCGTGGATCCAGAAATCAACTGAAGTTGGGTGTAGCGTGCTGACCGAATGTAAAACTTTATACTGTAGGAACGTGCAAATATATTTTATATTTTCGTATATTTATCAAAATTTTCGCTATAACTATTACTTTTTAATCAGTGCCACTCAAATATTTTTGCTTACTACCAAAACAATTTGCGGCCGCCAAATCCATTATTTTGCCGACAAGATGTTTTCAGGGGGGGTCACACCTCATACATCCCCCCTAGCGACGGCACGGCCTACGTGGGTCTTAGCTGTACTTGTAAAAAGAACCTTTTTCGACGAACTAATTTAATTAAGTTTGGCAATATATGTGTGCTGATCACCTAATAACTTTGAAATTTGATGTGTCATGCAGTATTAATTAGTTCTAGTCAGTGGTATACATGTTTTATAAACATATCGAGACTAAAAGTACATTATTTTTACCTTCAGACTAATGTTGGATCAATCAAAATCTGAGCTTGAACAAACCACTGAACAATTATCAGAGAAATATGAATCTATTGATGATGAAGGTAATTTCTTACATTATACTGTACAGTAACAGCAACAAGACCAGGTAAAATGTAAAGTTTTAACCCGACTTTTTTCTTGTGCGGTTTACACTTCCCTAACATAGTAAACATACTATACAAACATTTCTTTGAACAAAGTACAGCCTGTACCCGTCCGTTAATGAGCCTTAACGGCCACCACCCCCGTGGGTATACATATAGCTTTCAAAATAGGCCGGCGGGTGTTACGAAGTTTACCGCTGGCTGATATCTTGAAAATACTAACTGTACCAACTAAAAACCGATAACAGGCTACAAATACGGTAAATATCAAGATTTTGTTGGCATCTCCCTCAATGGACCTATTACCTAATGAACAAAATTTTGATCTAGACAAGTCTAGACACAAATTTCATCACAGCTTGAAATTAAGCATCACAAAATTAGTAATATTCCGAGGTTTCGTTGTGAAATGTTGTAAAATGCGGATAATATAGCCCTGCGAAGTTTGCCGTTTTTCAGTCATTTTGTATTACGCACGAGAAATTGATACCTTTTTTCAAAAAGCGGTTATTTAAAATAATCTTTTTGTACTAAGCCTATATGGTCTAATTATTCAAACACAGAATTACTAAAATGCGGCTTAGAGAAAGTTCCGTCATACAAGATTATAGAATAAAACTAATATAATTTGAAAGTAGAGTTATCAAATGTATAAAAAAACCAATATTTGCTGAATAAATCCTAAAAATGCGTAGTTTGAACATGTCAAAGTGTTGAAAACTTGAATATTTGAAAACTGTATCGAGCCACCTTAAGAGTTTTTACAAAAGTTACGCAACTGTCGCTGCTATGGCAAGAATGTGACGTTTCAAAACGGTGGATATTTTGGTTTTAAGGTACCTTTAAAATGAAAAACTTCAAAATTTGATTCATGACAATTCTAAAGAATGTATTCAAAAGTACTTTCAAGATATTAACTTACAGTATTTCCACATCGCGAAACCGAGATAAATAACTCGCGCAAAGTTGGGCTGTCTATTTTCCCCATAAATACAATAATATGTAGAGCGGGGGTACTCTACTTACTGAGCTACGAGGTCAAGTCGGTTCGAGCAAGAATGTACAGACTGTAGTACACGCGTAAAAATTGAAAAAATCAACAACTTGTTCCAGGTTGATATCAACAAGCGTGAACAAGGTTGTGCGGCCCACTATGAACAGTATTGTCAACATGTTGTTACAGCATTGTTCAACTGTAACAACTTGGAACAACATGGTTGACAACTTGTTCATAGTTGGCCGCACAACATTGTTCACGCCTGTCGATATCAACTTGGAACAACCTGTGCGTTTTTAGCCGTGTAGTGGCAGTAAGAATCGTATCGACGGAACTACATGCACTCCTTTCCGAGATATAAACCACTCTCACCAACTTGAACATGTAGCTAGGTTCGTCGAGTGTTGAACTGGCAAACCATATAAGGTCATGAGAGAGAACTCGAGTCCAAAAAGTGAAGCCAGCTTCATATTAACCGCACAGACAAAAACAATAGAAAGGGACTGGAACTGACGTCCAATAGCTTCTTCAATTTTCGCCATCTTGGAGTGTGCCGAAATTTCGTATTTTGACATCGATTTAAAGAATAACACCATGGTTTTACGAACTGAAAACTTGATTAGCGATACGATCCGTTAGAAATAAACTGGAATTAGCTGGGGAAAATGGTATAAAAGTTGTTTACGACCTTCACAGCTATTGGACGTCAATGGCCGCCATCTTGACTTCACTTTCACTCATAAGGCCTGTTTACACTTGCAATTTCTGCTGCGATTTTAAGTGCGATTTTCTTCTTCCGATGGATGTGAACGAGTGGATGAGTTAGGAATGTTCAGATGAGGGTAGATCAATGAGGCATATACTCAGAATATTCATAACTTATTTACTCGTTCACATACATCAGAGGAAGAAAATCGCACTAGA